CACTGCCCTTACCCTCTTGGCCCACTTCTTTGTAGCGTTTGTACCTCCTAGAGTAAACGGGTGGCTTGGTCCTATCATCTAAAAACGTACAAACATAGACAGTCATTCCTAGCCATTCGTAGTATTGAATAAGTTAGAAACAAAACATACGCCTTGTATTTGATATGATCTGATACTCCAGGGATTTTTTTCCTAGAAAAGCTGCAGTGCATATATTTGAGAGTTGAAATCATTGATCTCAATTTCCTATTTTTATAAGCCACTTTTCTTAGTATATATGGTAAAACTCTCTCTCTCTGAAATTGCTCATGCAGAATAGTTCAACTATAATGGCTTCTCTCTTCCACCCAAGGAATGGTCAGGGAAACTATATCCTCCCTTAGCCAGAATAAATAAAGTATTTTTCCTCAAACGAAGCACCATACATAGCATCAAATTGGTTAAGAATCTCCAAACTATCAGTGTCAGATGACTCAAATTTAGATGGAAACACGAACAGATACAAAACATAATTCTAGAGGAGTCAATGAAACACATGTATCTTCTTAAAAAGGAAAAACCCAAAAGGAGTCTTCGTTTAAGATGAATGGCGATAAAACCCAAACTTTACTATAGCAACTTCAAGTCAAAAAGGCTTAAACTCCAACTATGTTTTTTCTTCACCAGTTGTCTCACAGGGCGGCAGGACTGGATAACTAGGACCCCAACAGTTTGCCAAACTAACTTTCACCAGTAGAAAGGTGTTATCGAATTGAAAACCGAAACAAAATAACATGTCAAAAGCACAAGTTAAGAGGGAATAACTATTTATATAACATTCAAGCTTCAGTTGTAATATTCTCAATATAGCACAATCTTCACTACTTCACTTTAAAGAAAAAATGAACATAGAATGCATCATTTGTCAGGATTTAGTAAAGAATTCTAACATACCAGGAACTACTTTAGGCGGCTCCTCTTTCCCTTCAGGAGCACAAATGTACCTCTGCCCCTTATACCAAACAAAATGCGGCGGCTTGGGTGCGTATAGAGCCCCATCAGGCAAATTGATATAGAAACCAATAACATCACCTTCCTTATATCCCTCCTCCCCATATTTCTCTCTTAAAGCCTTATGCACCTTACTTCCATCTATATCTCTGTATCCAAAACTATTCCCGTCGTACCCAACTGGCGCCTGCAAGTCCCCTTTATCCGTCGACCATCCGAGCCGAGTATGCCCCGTCTCCCCCAAGCTCACCACCTTGATTTCAAAATACCATGCCCCTTCCTCCACCCCTCTAGTGGCCCTCACCATCCGATACCCCTTTGTACTACCAGCACTCATTCTATCATCAGTCAATTCAACTTTCTCCGCCTTGTAAACCTTCGATAAGCATATTTGCATATCGGAATTGTCGTCCCCTTTATCAGGGAACCTCGGAACTGGAGTGATCAAAACAGGGTCCTCAGCTGGGGCATTGTGATTGTTATTGGCTTTGTTCTTCTTCTTCCCCTTCCGGGTCGACTTTGTAACCCAAACATTATTGTTTTTCTTCTTCGATTTCTTCGGATTCAAAGCCGTTGCCGCCGGTGCAGCATTGGCACTCCTGGAACCGTTGTTCTTAGCAGTGGTGGATTCCAGCAAAGGCGATTTGGGTTCTTCCGCAGGCTGGAGATTAAGCGAAGACAACTGCTTCTGCTTCTTGGGAGGTGGGTCTTCATCGTCGTCGTCGTTCGCTGGGGACTTCGCCAACTTAGCGGATTTCTCAGTGTCGTCGGAGGCGGGTTCTTCTTCGGAGATGTCTTCAGAGGCGTCGGGTGGGTCCTGTCTGGTACCGTCCTGGGGCTCCGTTGAGGAGGCACTGACATTGGCATCCATTGGTGGATCAGCAAGCTCCGGTGGGTCGATGCCGGTGGCGCGAACCGACTCGTCTTCCTCATCGTCTTCGTCTCTGTAAGTGGAACGAAGGGAATCCATGAGAACGAGCCCAATAGGGTTTGACAAATCGGGCAGTGATGTGGAAGAAGGAGAGTGATGCTCCGTCTACTTCACATACGATTCTGAAAACAGAAACCTTGAAAAATTCGGACTAAATTTTGACGAAGAACCGGAGGGAAGAAGAAGAAGGAGAAGGCAATTGGATTGGAATTGGAGTCTCGACAGATAGGGCTGAGAGATTGAAGGGACAAATTTTGGGTACTTCCAAGTCTCCCTCTCTTCTAAAATTCAAAAAACTCTTTTTTTTTCTTTTCCTTTTTTAGTTCTAAGTTTCTAACAAAAATTGAGTCATAGCTATATCTCTTAATCATATAGATATGTATGTTTTAAGTTTCAAATATCGGTCAAATAAGCATAGTTGAGCGATAATTGACATATTTTGAAGACGTGAGCTTATCCTCTACCCCTACATATTATACTATATATATATTCAAATATTGATTTTATTAAAAAAATATATATATTAATATCGGTGTTGACGAAAAAAAAAATATCGATAGGAATATGATGTATTAAAATTATGTTGATTTTTGCTTAGGGACGGGTTCAGTTTCAAGTTTCAAATAACATGTCAGCAATACATTCATATGTCAATGTGAGCTTAGTTGTTAATTGATATCTATCTCTGATCAATAAGTGATAAGTTCAGATCTTCATCCTCACTTGTAAAAAAAAAAATTCATTCACATACCTAAATATGTTCATAAAACAATAATTTAATATATTATCAACGGGAATGATTGAGATTTTTTATATTTAAAAGATAAAATTGAAAATTTTGAAAGATTGAGGACCAAATTTTCAATTTGAATAATAGTATATTTGAAATGTCAATCGAAAATAAAAAAAAACTATAGCCGAAACTGAAAGTAGCGTTTAGCAGCTTAATTATAAAAAAAATAGTAATCAAACACACCTTATTTTTAGTTATTTTTATTTTTTTAATTTATTGCTTTCTCTCGATTTTTTTGGTATGTTTTACCTTTCTTAAAATACATTTGAATTTTTTGCTAAATTTAAAAAACAAAAATAAAATTTTTAGAAATTACCTATTTAAATTTGCAATATTTGATGAACACTGACATAGGTAAAATCTTAACTATTTAGCTGCACCTATTTTTGTGGTAATAATAATACCAAAGAAACATGGATAATTAACTCCTAAATTATGAAATTTTCATCGTTTCAATTTTCATTTTGATCCATCACCTCACAAACTTACAAGAATTGATATGAAAATAATTTTTTTTTAAAAAAAATTGCACAATCAAATAACTAACTTCTATTTCTATTTTAGAATATTGATTTTGATATCAAATTTTTGTTAGTTTGTGAGGGCTATTTATGAAAACTCATGGGCATATGGGTTAATTTTATAATATTTATATATAAAAGAAAGTTCAAGGGTTAATCATGTAATTTAATATTAAATATATAATAAAAATAAAATTGAAACATGAGCGTTAGTCTAGTGTAGTGGTTAAAAAACATTTTTATTGTCACGAAGGATGTTCAAATAACAAATTCCACTTTATTATCTAAATTTATTTGCATATCATGTATTAGAGACTAAACTATATATTTAACCTCTTTCTATATATATTTTAAATTATTGAAAATTAAAATATTAAATAAAAGATATTATGCCTGAGTGGAGGTGAAAGATCGAATCATATCGACTCTTTTAGGTTTGTAATAGATGTCTAACATCAACTTAACTATGTCGGAATTGGTATTATAGCTTAAACCTGTGTTCCATTAATCCTTGAATTTTTAGAAGTTTAAATTATGTTTTTAAATTTTAAATTATGCTTCTAATTAATCTCAATTTCGCTCCCATCTAATGAATTTAGAATCTAACATAAACATTATAAAAGAAAAGTAGATGTCCATCTCAGGTGTCAAAAAGAAATATGCCTTAAACCCTAACTCATGTGTCAATATCTTCATTTGTCTAGTATCTCCAAGTGTCAAATTGAACCAAATGTCTAATTCTCAAATGTTCCATGTGTCTATTTTCTACTTATGATTAGTGTCCAACTGTAATACTTCGTGGTTTGTAAAACTTCGTGGCTGTACAAATTGCCTATAAATAGTGGCAATTCATGTTTCATTTAATATGTGAAAAATTGGAGAAGAATTTTGATGTGAAATTCCATTTTGAAAGTTTCGTTTCTTTTATAATTTTGGTAATTTGTTATTTTATCCATTTACATTTTTCTCCCGTTACTCGTATACTTATGGTGTCTCGTTTTGCTCCATAATTTTTAAGGGGAATCCAACTTATTAAATTACGACTTTTAGCCCAAGCTTTGATTTAAACTACTTTTATTTAGGTATAGATCCAAACTTGGACCAGTAAAACTAGGGAAATGGAGTTTGTAATGCAAAAATAGGGGGTATGATTATTGATTTTCTAATTTTTTTAATTCACAAAGTTTTTCTCATAATCAATATCAAAAGTTCCATTTCTTTTTGAGTTCTTTGCCATAGGCATGTTGAAGGATAAATTCGTAAATTTAATGCTATTATGAATATTATATTTGAAGTAATTGGACAGAATGAAAAATTTGTACTTTTTAGACACCACTACTATAGTATAGAGTAATTGGACAAAATGAAAAATTTGTTCTTTCATAGACACTACTAATATAGTATAAAGATGCTCATTTAGCCGTATTCATACGCCCATACGGGGCACTCGGTATTCTTCGATGCACTCGATGCTGCGCTCGACTTTGATTCAGTAGTGTGCTCGACACTCTCCTCTTATCAAGTCATAAGGCTCTACGTGTTTCTCCCGTGCTCTAAATTTACACATTATTATTCTTTAAAATGAAACTTATATAATTAGCGTGTTTTGCTAGACTAAAAAAAATAATTAGATTAGAATTGATGCATATTATATTTAAAGAAAATTTAAAACTAATGGTTTGTTGTCCTCATCAATTCAAATAAGGTTTAAATACCATTTTGGTCTTTATACTTTCGGTTTTGTTCATCTCGATCATTGTACTTTCAAAATGTCTATTTTTGTTCTTATACTTTCAACTTTTGTTTATTTTAGTTCATGTACTTTTGAAACGTTCGTTTTGGTTTTTGTATATTTAAAAAGTGATCATTTTTATTTTTATCTTATTTATTCCAATCAAAATTTTAGCATGACACTTTATTCCTACCATTTTTAAAATATAACCATAATTTGTATTAAAGGGTTTTCAACTTTTCATTGTGTATAATACATTTGTGTTAATATATATGGGATCGAACTCACAACTTCTTTGTTGGAAACATATGTCAATTACGCTGTGATATATGTCAATTAATATTTTAGACCGAAATAGTCACTTTTTAAAATTACATGGACCAAAACTAACATTTTGAAAATATGGAGGCTAAAATAAATAAAAGTGGAAAGTGGAACCAAAAAAGATATCTTATAATGAACTAAGTAGAAAGTACAACGAACAAAATAATATTTAAATCTTAGAATAAATAAAATGGATCATTTTTTTTAGGGAGAGAACAAAATCAAGGAATTCTCCTACCCCACTAGTTGTACTAAAGAAAGATCATTAAAACTTTTTCCCAATATTTTTTTGTTGGGAAAATTATATAAAGATAGATTGCATATTATATTTGATAAAAACAAAAATAAAATTGTTAGGAGTGAAATTATCGTACTAGGTTCACCTAAACTGAGGTTGAAGATGTGACGTAGGTTGATGCGTAGGTTGGACAACCAAACCAGATCCAACTAGACCTACCCTAACTAGGTTGGACCACTCGACCACGTTAGACCCGATTAGGGTCAAACCACCTGACTGAGTCGACTGTATTACATGATTGGATCATACTCGAGTCGACCTAACTTGGTTGAACCGATCCATCCGAATCAATTCAAGGAGACTCCCTCTCGAAATAAGAGGAGAATCCTAAGGTGCAAGGTACATTCTACAACCCTATTTTTTGCTAACTTAATATTAGAATGTGTTGGACTTAACACGACACTGGTGTGCAAATTTCTTATATGTGCAGGTGTTCATCGGAGTTATTATTGATATCATATCATAGCATAGACAATCCAAATCCTACATGAACAAAATTCATATAAAAAGGAAAAAAAAATGTTCTACATAAGACGTAGTTCCACTTTCATTAACCATCCCATCAAATTAAGGTGGGAGATTCGATAGATTATGAAATATTACCCTATCAAAATGTGATATACTCCCTGTGTGAATAAGAAAGTAATTCATTCAGTAGAGAATATTAACATCCAAAAAATGGTCAAATAAAAGGTGTCCTAAGCCGAAAAAAAAAGTATCACCTCTTCTCAAACTGTCACAAGAAAAAATTATAATCGAAATCCTTTTTATTCTACACAAAATTTAAATCACGGGAACTATACGTTGTAGCGAAGTGGATCAAGGCAGTGGATTGTGAATCCACCATGCGTGGGTTCAAAAAGAAAGTCTTAATTTTCTATGGGAGCCGGCTCGAAATATTTGATCTTAGGAGGTTGTTCCATCATTGAAGTTAGAGTGTGGGATTGAGCCTCTAGAAATTCGTTTATAATTTTATTATTAAAATAATAATTTTATTTATTATATAAAATTTGAATAATGTAATGTGAATATATTAAAAAAAATTGTCACTAAAATAAATATATTCAGATAAAAATAACGGTTTACATATTCATAATTCAATTGGTCAAAATATTATATATTTACCTCTGTAAATTATTTTAATAATTTTAATTTTATATATTTTATTATTTACCTCCGTAAATAGTGCACATTGTTTCTTCTTCTTTAACGTTGCATATTTATGTTTGACGGGACTAAAATGAAAATGATTGAAATCATTGTACACGTCAAAATAAAGACATTTAAATGTCCATGCCCAGTCTCAATGGAATATGAGGGCTTCTAGAAGTTGTATAGTTTTTTATTTTATTATTATTATTTTAACAATATGTAAAGACGTTGAAGTGATGGTGCTCTCATCTTTTAATCGAAGTTATAATGATTTAATCAATTGAATTATTTATCGTATTGAAAATGATGTTTAACGTCTTAATTAAGGTTGATAATGTCAAAGTTAGTTCCATACCTAACGACCAAAAATTTAAATGCAAAAGCAAAATAATGGTGGGAAAACGTAAATATCCAATTACACCATTTTATTTTTAGTTTTTTATTATTATATAAATTAAACTTCTATTTAATATTTAATTTTCATTTTTTTTTCAACATCTTATTCAAATTTGAAAAAGCATATATTTTTTAAAAAAATACTTTTTTGTTTTGTTTTGCTCTGTTTTATTTCTAGGAAATAAAAACAAAATTAAAAAGATTATTTTCAAAATAGATGACAATAAACTTGTTGAGATGTAAAATTGAGAGCTTCCTTAATAAGCAAATATTTGTTGTGGAATTGCCTATGAAAAATACACTTATTTGGTCAATATTATATCCTTGAATTCCTAGTCAATAAATTTCTCAAAAAAAAAAAAAAAATTCCCTAGTCAATAAAATCATTTATATTATTTAGCAAGGCTCACCTACCACCATACTCTTCAAGTTGGACCATTCAATTTCAAACCCTATATCCATGTTTGGTCAAACTTTCAACACTACAACCATATAGTATATTCAAAAAAGAAACATGTCCCTTTTTATTTTCCTTTTTCCTTTTATTTTTTCCTTTTTTTAATTTTTTTTGACAAATGCCCATTTCAACATTAGGGCCAACTTTACATACTTTTAGAAAAACTTTAGAAAAAAAATATATGGATATCAATCGAATTGAGTTGGTTCGATAGTTTGAACAATAGATTGGTCAATTTTGTTTTATAATTTATTGAATTGAAAAATTGTAGTTGTTAGAGGTTCTATTTAAATTTATCTATCAAGATCAAGTTCATTATTTAGTACTTTACATGAGTCTTTCATTGTCAGAAAAGACGACTTCTTTGAAAATCTCAACATGTCTGAATAGAGTTTGCTAGAAGTAAATGTTTTCAAATGTTGTTTATGTTAAAAATTCCAATCGAAAGATCAAGGGGATCTAACAAGGTTTATAATCGTGATCTCATTGTTAATTGATTAATTTGGAGGAATAGATTACTTATGGTTCTCCTTCTTCTTCGAACATGTGAAGTGAAATCTAATTTTGTACTAAAGAGTAATCACTTACCGTTGAGTAAAGCTTTAAAGGTTCAATGAAGTATGAATCAATATTGCCTAGGTATAATAAAAAAATATGAATTTTTTAACAAAAAGGTAGGGAAAATACCAAATACCACGAAGTTATAGTCATTGCAATCAAATCCTATTATTTCATTCTTCTTCTAATTTTTCTCCATCTTACTAATCATAATGAAAGGATAGACAATCGGTTAAAAGTATCCTCAAGTCGAAATTCCATCAAACACTAAGAACCTACTAGATCCTAACACAAAGAAACTATCAGAGTGTGAGATTGTCCTCCTCACTAACTCCAAAAGAAGGTAACTTTATCGCTAGCTAAAGCTAATCAACAGAAAGCACACCAAATGTCTAAACAGGACAAAAACCTATTAGATCCTAACACAAACTTCCTAATCCTCCCTCTAGCACATGTTAATACACCTTACGTATTCGGGACAAAGTGTAGAACTCCGTTAATGAATGAAAAGTTGAACTATGATTAGGTTGATGATAATGTTTGAATGAAAACTTTAGTTTAGGTCGGATTAATTTCACAGCTTCCAAAAAATTATACCAATCGAGTGCAAGGAATCAACAACTTTTATACAGTGATAAGTGTCTTGTTATCCACCTCGCATTTTATTCCCGTAGTTGGAAAAAAGGGACAGCTGAAGTCAAGCTCTTCCAAATACTTCCAAAAAAAGAGTCTCCAATTCTCTTCCACCACCTAACCACAAAATTACTCCCAAAAAGCCCTCCAACTTTGGCGACCCGAGCACGTGAATAAATCTTACTCAAGACGTCATTTTCCCAATTGTTCAGGGGTACTCCCGTCATTTCACCAGAGTAGTTGGTTGGTTGAATTGAAAAAGACTGTGGCCAGAAACTTCTTGTTCACACACCGCACCCCACCAGCGCCCATCTTCTTCTTCTTGTAGCTCGGCCTCAGTCGCCACGCGCTCTGCCATGGCCCCCACCCACCTCTCTTTCTCTCTCTACTCTCTATAAATTACCCCTCTCTCTCTCTTGATTTCCCTCTGGACCCTGTGGGTGTGGGTGTTCCCA